TAAGGTAAAGTCTTAACGTCTTACTTGAAAGAATTTTTACTTCATTTGACAATTTTGTATAATGTGCGGACGTGAATAGAATAAGAATACGCCTTTAACCTTGTCATTGCCCTTAAAACACATGTTTTTGTTATAGAAACGGTGGGGCATGAAATAAGTCTTACGCAAACACGGCGAAATGTCCTTAAGATAGCACGACATGCTGCGAGAATTGGCAGATCTGAAATGGCTTTTTCCAATCAGATTTCAAGCGTTTGTAGCCAGAAGTGGCTTATATTTACTTAACAGCTAAAATACAGCTTTTATCGCATTTGTGGGTTTTGTGCAATTTGCCCAAAATTTTGGACCTTTCGCGGTCGTTCTTTTAAGTGTAATCGCAGGGCAGTATGATGACTGTTTCAAACTGTATGAAGTCATAACAACGATGGAAAATAGTCACGTTTTCAGTCACCCAGTAATTAAGCAATGAAAGTTTATCTTAACGATCCAACCCTCCAGAATCATTTTTATATATATCCCCTGGGCAAGTCTGGCGCTCAACAAAAGCAGGGAAAAAGATCTTTGCTCTTACAGGGCCTAATTTGTACATGCTGGCTCTTAAGTCTTGTCTTAAGTACTCCCGTTGAAAGTTTGCTTTGATACCAGCGACTGAGCCAATTTCCCTTTTGTATAAACAGTCGTCGTTAGTAACGGTCAATGTCATCACTGGTAACCAAGCGGTTAGCCTTCCGTCAGAGTAGACGTAAATATGTGCTCGGGACTATGTCATGCTATTTGCTATTTTTTAAAAAAAACCAAAACGCGTCTTCGCATCAATTCCATTCCAAAAACTAACAATGGGCCAGTTTTGTTATTTAAGACTATCTTTAAGCATTGACACTGTTTCCTGTCGTCTGTTGCTACGGATGGGAAGGATGAACATGGATTCAAGTTTGAAAAACTTGGATCAAATTTTTCGGGGTTTAATGTAAAAATCAGAAAAACTTTATTATGGTTTGTACTCTCTAATGAAATTTAATAATAATAATAATAATAATAACAATATACACTTATATAGCGTCTTTCTCTTAGTGATCCAAAGCGCTTTACAATCAGTAAATACTAAGAAAACAAATAATTCAAATACAACATGACAGGATTTAAAAGCCCAACTGACAGGAGGCAACCAGTTGGTTATTTACAAGAGTGGCTGAAGATTTGAACTCGGGATGACTGAGAACAAATCCAGCAGGATTTGAACTCGGGATGACTGAGAACAAATCCAGCAAGTGGCCAGAGCGGGACTCGAACCCGGGACCGCCGGATTGCAAGTCCGACCGGCTGACCACTCGGCCACGCTGCCTCCCTGTTTGATCCTTCTTCATAATTCTACAGGTGTAATTTTGTATGGATGAAGGTACTAAGGAAGATTTAGACCTTCAGATAAGGGGGGACCCTGTCATCCAGACCCTGAGATTAGGGGGGGGGGCGATCCCAGTCTGTTCCCCTCGGCGACAGACGTTTAAGAATAGTCTCAGGGAGAACGAGGTTTAAAAGTTGAACTTAGGATAAAGGTTTGGGAAATGGCTAGGGTCGCCTATGATACATAGATCAGCTACGAAAGACAGTTATTATCACCTATACCTTTGCTCAGTTTTAGAATATTGTCGTGGCAAATCAGGGTTGTAGTGCAAAGGGGGAGACTAAGATTAGCATACAAAATGCCCTGGGTCATTTCTGGACTGTCGTGTGATTTAGTACTGGTTTAAGTGTCTAAAAATGGCAATAACCAATGATGACAGGAACATTTGCAGCGACCATGCAAAGAAATTGCTTTACTGCAACAAAAATACATGGATGAGCAAGATCCATACAGTCTGACGTTTTGTTGCAAATGTCAGTTGTCCCAGAGTGACTTGTGAACTATTGTCCAACTTCCTGTGACCAAAAACAACGCCCAAACAGGGTTAAAAAACGGACCCGAACATAATAGAGCCCATAAGGCCAAATAACCTTTGAACTAGAAAAATGACTGACGAATTCGAAGAAAGCAGCGTAGATATCAGAGCGGCAAATTTAAAGTGGAGCTCTGCGTACACATTGTAGTGTAATGATTGAAGTGAAAATTGACAAATCATTTTATTATGTTGTCACCTCTTTTCGTCGGTTACGGTTGCACACCATTTTTGACCGCGTATTTCTTTTATTTATTTAGAATTTATAGGGCTGAAGTATCTCTCTTTCTGCTCTCTTTTTCGGCCATAATTCAAGGGCTCGTTTGCGTGCAACTTAAAAGTCAGTTTCTCTCGAAGCGGAATTATACAGAAATAAAAAAGGCCAGCTTTCAAAGAAACTGTATGGCCATATCACCAAGCATCCTTTTCTCTAAAGTCCTTATAATGTATAATTTTGGTGTAATTATTAGCCTGTAAAAGCATACATACTCTGTCAAGTGATGTGAAGTCAACTTAGGCGTTCAAGAATATTCAGATTATGTATCGAATTGAACAAGTCTTCCGGTTTAAAAAGTTATCGCTAGTTTTGAGAAAAGAACCCGAATTCATTATCCACCGTCGTAAGTAGACGTTTTGACCGTTGCTTTTGATCTGACAAAGGCCTGGTCGGAACTAGTGGAATAAAACGCCAACTGAGGGCTTGTTTAAGTGGAGGGAGCTTGGAAAATCCTAGCACCGGGAAGATTTCACAGTAGAGAAGTAATTAAAGACTAAAAATTACCCATTAAACGACCCGCCGCCATTTTTGTTCTATTTGTCCCCAGGACTAGGATCTTCTTAGCGAAGGCAGTTAACACGGTGCTAAAATCTTCCTGGTACCCCAGGGGGGGCTCTGCATATGAAAGGGGTGGGGATGCTCGTCGGAAATTTTGAATTAAACCCCTAAAGGAGACCGATCTGGGCGTAGGCCAAGCCTTTTTTGACCCCTAAAAGAGACCATGTTAAAACACAGACAAATGAAAACAATGGACAAAGACGTCTTCTTTTTAGTATTGATGTTATAGAAAACTTGGATTATATGAATGGAGTAAATAAAACGAATTAAAAATATACATATCAAATATACATTTTTATATTTTTTCGCATGCAACCCTAAACGAGACCTTCACGGCTAAATATGATGGCGTTTGGCCCAGAACACCCTAAGTGAGACCAAAACCCAAAATTAAAACACCCTTAAGCGAGACGACGAGCATCCCCACCCCTTTCATACGCGGAGTCCCCCCTTTGGGACTGGTACACAAGGATCTCTCAGCTAGGAAGATGCTAGCGCTAAGGACAAGTACAACATTTGCATGTCAGACTGAATACAGGAAACACACATTATACATACGATGCTAGGATGATCCGGATCATGATTAGGATCTTCCTTCTTCCATGTAAACAGCCCCTTATAAACTATTACACCTTCAGTGGTCAATGTAACATATCATGGACTACGGGTAGTCTAGATTTTTCTCGTAGAAAGTAGAGAGTGACCGATATAAACGCAAAGAACGCGCGTAGGTGAACTTCCACCACGTGTAGCGTCCCCTCGAGATGGGAGATTCTCCTAGCTCTAGCGTCATTTGCTTGCTGTAATAATTTTAAACCGAACAAAGCTGAACAATTCAGAAAGGTCGCGCTGAGATGATTAGATAAAAAAGACATTAAATATCCTGAAAAGGATTCTATTTGCCTCAAAGTTTCTCCGTAAACTCACCCATAATCATCAAAATACTAAACGCTCAGAGCACGCTTGTGCCAATCTGACAATTAAAAAGACATCGAGACTGGTTTATAAAGCCGGGGTCATACATGAGTCAGACTACATGCTATTCGCTTTTTTAGGTTAAGTAAAGGAAAGCAACAATATTCGACTTTGCGCATAAAAGCGGTGGCAGGCTGTTCCAGGTGTTCAGATCGTACGGACGGCGTGAAGAGATGTGAGCCTCTCTCCACGTTATTTTGCCACCTACCACTCCCCTAAGCCAGCATTAGCACTTACTTCTCACTTAGGGCATAGTGATGGCTTAGGGGAGGGGTAAGTGGGCAGTTTCCCAGAAACGTAAGATGATACCTTATTTTTTCCCGCAATCTTACTTCCCGCCGCACTCCACAATCCGAACGCCTGGAACCGGCTAAAGCGGTAGGAAGGATATCACCTTCAAGTCACACACACTACATGACCACTTATCATCTTGACTGTGAAACTAAGTAACTGAAAGCTTTTTAATTAGCGAAAGATGATTGTGTTTTATGGTGTGTGTGGGTTTTTTTCTTCGGCTCCTTTTTCCTAAAGTGAATCTTAAAATCGGCGCTCATTTAAAAAGGCCAGCTTGGCAGGTCATGACTTGAAGGCAGCCGCCAGAGAATAAATATGTTGTTTTAAACTACTCTGAATTACATCATCCAATTTTTATGGGTCTGTTGTAAATCACATGTGGTCAAAATATGGATAAAACGGATGATTTACGACGATTTACAACTTACATGGAGCAGTTGCACTCAACTTATTTTTCAGTTCAGCTTTTCCAGACATCTCTCTCTTTTTAATTTTTTTGCTGCACACGAACGCGAAAGAAGACGTCAGTGTGTCACAAGACAGTCCACGCCTGACAGCATTAATACAGATGTTCCCTTTATACTTTTCACTAGAGAAAAATATAGCAGAAATTCTGAGCGATTAATCCCTTCTATGCGTAACATGGCAGCTCAAATAACTTTAGCATTTTCTTTTTTTCCTTGCAACTCTCTCCGACAACATATTTTGTGAAATTATTTGACCAATCCTGTTACAGTATAGTCAGTGTGATCTTGAAAATTTTAGTATCCTGCTTTACAGAGACTAAAAAAAACGTACATAGGTTTTTTAACCGTTTGAAAAAGGGATTTTTCTAAACATTTTTTTGTTTCTTTTCATATACATGCAATTTTTCCGTCTCGCCAAGAAAAAACTGCTCCTCCTTGCAAAAAAAAAGAACAAAAGCACAGAATCTCCCAAACTCCCAAGCAAGGCCGCCTATGTCAAGGGGTTTTCAAAAATACGTTTCTCAGATCTGTAGGTTTTGTTGACTCACCCTGCTTGTAGCCGTCTTTGCAGCGGAAAAAATTAAATCCCCACCCTATTCAAAATACACAAATGTCAATTTAGCCGATTAATCTCTTTATTTTTGATAAACTCCTACACTACCAATCGCTTACATTACAGTACATAAACTTATATAAGTAAGTACCAAATCCCCAGTGTTACTTCATAATAGGAATAAAGGGTCCCCTTAAAGGGTCCATCATGTTTATATGCATATGTATTTGAATTAAGTATTGTTATTAATTATATCCATCTCGGCATTCCGATCCAAATTTTTGCACAATTTCGTAATCCCGATGGTTGTTTTCGGCATCCCGCGTCTCGTGCATCCTTTTAATCCCGAATACCAACCCACTTTTTGCTTTAAAATCCTGAATCCCAACCTTCAAATAAGGGGGGGGGGGGGGGGGATCCTATTGAGCACCCTCGAAATAGAAATCATTTATAATGTACACTAATGCACTGAACTGTGTGCTTGCACTGTACAACTAACAAATTAGAATATGATCGAAATTTACACTAAAGGCGCTTTCCATTTGTCAGAACTGGCCGGCTGGACTAGTCAGATATCAAATGAAATCGGCTTTTTCTTTAGGGTTTTTGCTTAAAAACCATCTCCTTCGTGCATACTGTTTAGGATCTGACTGATCTGGCCGGATAGTTTTGATTAAACGTGAAATTTTCATTAAGACATGAGGAATGGTCTGGCCGGGTCACTTCTGACAAATGGAAAGCGCCCTAAGTTTACAGTTCACTTCTAAAATGAAAAGATTACGTTAACAACGACACAAAGTAACACACCGTCACTGACAAGAAACTGGACTAACAATTGATTTTTAAATATAGACAAGTTCTCGGAAAAAGCACAGCGTTTGCTTTAATTCCAGTTGACGTCAGGGGCCCTATTGTAGACTGTTGTCACTTATCAGAAGTCGAAAAAATGACTACACTGTTTCAGTGACATACAATTATGTACCTTAAAAGCTTATGTACCTATCATGTATCACAGGTATTAAAAAAACCACTAGAAAATGGCCCAGTTAGCAAGAACGTTTATGGCATATCATTTTAAGGATTAAGATAGGGTTGAAGTGGTTCATGCGCCCCCTTATATCCGCCCATGTACTTCCTTTTGACTAATATGCCATGAAATATTTTCACAAATTAGATCTCCTACTCTCCGAAAAATCATCATCAATTTATCGCTTAAAACAACTTATAATTAAGCTTGTTATTTCCAATTTCTACGTTTCTGGTCAGTGGCCATATACTCGGCTAATAAATGAAACAACTCGACAATTGTTAGAGAAATCCTCATGAGACTTAAAACTGAACTAAAAGTACCGATTGAAGAACTTTCCCTAGATGCCAGTAGTGAAACCTGTATAGTCGAACACCAACGGGCGCTATAGCTATAGTGTCTGCTTAATGTTACATTTTTTCTTAAAACAAATTAATCCGATTATTTATACGGGGAGGCTCCGGCCTGAGGTCCAACCTCTTAGCTTTTTATATCAGACATGGTATAGTTTTTGACAGAAATGGTACCCCCAGTTTCGTGTACCCTCTATTGACAAGTGGTATCCCTTTCACACGCCTATAGTTTAGAACTTTGCACCCCTTTTAAATGCTGTAAATGCTATGTCTTTTAAATATGAATAAATCAAAAAACTAGAACGTATTCCCGACATTTTGACAGCCATACAAAGTCCATTAGCACTTTTAGGCCTTTTTACGAAACGAAATGACAGATTTCTCTCAATTTCATAAATTTGAAGCGTAAAAAGGATACCACGTTCTGGCCGAGCCTCACCTTATAGGCCATTATAGGGGTTACCCCGGAGCCGTATCAGTAGTACCCGCTTCTAATGGGCATTTTGAGTCTTGTATTTTCTACAAGCTATTATCCTTATAAAGGCCTTATGATAGAACTTACTCATCATTCCGTAGCACACGGGATGCAGGGCGCTTGGCAAACAGGCCAGGACATAAGTAAGCCTCCTAAGAATGTGACGAGGAGGCCAGAACATAAATGCTTTCACTTGGAATTCGACCAGAAGGAAATAAACATGATATGGGATGTAACAAATTACAAAGACTAGCACCAAAGCATAAATCATTTTTAGGAGGTCGTTTTCAAGCTCAAATGCGCTGTTGTCGTTTTTCGTAACTGTCCGAACGTTTGGTGAGCTCTCAGTTTGGTCAGTGTCTTCTTTCAAGGTGACGTACTTGTCATGGCTTTCCCGTTGTTGTCCTCTCTCGTCGTCTTTGATGTTGCTGGTTGCACTATACTCGAGCTGTATTTCTTCATGGTTTTCGCCACCTGATTGGCTAAAAACCATACTGCCTCTTTTCGTTGATTGTGGCTCCTCTGTACACACAGAATTCTGGGTAACAGTTGACATAGCCTTGTTTTGCTCGTCCCTGAGCCGTTGTTTGACAAAGATGTGTTCTCTGATCTTCTTATCGACCAGGGAATAAGAAATTGCCATTATTACAAATGGCAAGACAAAGTTCACTACGAATAGGACGATCGAGTAAATGTTCTGATAGTGTTCAAATCCTTGGGGGAATTCTTCGTAACAGAAACGCAACTCGCAGTTTTTGCCCCATGATTTTAAGACGCGAAAATGCCCCGCAGGAACCGACAGACCAATAGATCCCGCCCAAGAGATAAGTATAACACGACACGTTTGTCTGCGTGTTGGCTTGGTGATCATGGGTTTAATTAGCAAGACGCATCGGTAGACAGCAAGAATGGCCAGGGATGCTGAGATAACCAGAGAACTAGTTACCTGTAGAGGGGGGAGAATCTTGCACATGACACTCCCAAGCTCCCAAGACCATGGTGGTTCATATGCGTGGAACATGAACACTATACAAACCATGTTGATAATTTCAGCAAAAGCCAAGTTACTGACAAGGTAATGTGCTATCGGTTTGGCTCCGGTAAATCTCCAGACAGCTCGACACACCACATAATTTCCAACCAAGGCGAGAGCTGCTATCAGACTGAACAAGACCGTGCGGGTTATTCGTAATGCTTCTGGTTCAGGAGTAAAGGAACCTGAGCTGTTACGTGGTGGAAGGCACTGCATCTTCGAAACTGAAATACGGTGAGAGCGTTGCTTTTTTGCTCTAACGCTTCCGTGCTCTTTTGGCTATCTTTTTTGCTTTCCTGCGAAGACTTTATAAATAGCAAAAGTCTTACGAGCACCTGCATAAGGGAAGTAGATGTATTGAGTGGTCATTTGGTGTTAAGTACCGGATTCTTTGATCAGTGCCTCTGAGTAAAAGCTCTGTATGAGGCCCATTTGTATGCCATTTAAGATTTTACAAAACCCTTTTGTATTTTACTTTAGGGTTGTAAAAAAAAAAGGTTTGTTTACTGGGATGAAATGTCATTATTCTGCATCGAAAACGCAAAAGCCCTACTATTAAGGTAGTTTTAATCAGTCGGTGCGGCGGAAGGTCTTAAAAATGACAGGATACATTTTATATTCGCTTGGCTCGCCTTCGAACCAAGTCATTTAGTTGGTTGGCTCATTTGAACTCAATCAGATATCTTTTTAGACGATATTCTCTGGCTTTTTGACAACAAAAAGAACTTTCACAGTTATTGCAATCTTGAATAGTGGTAGAAATTCATAATAAAACATGGTAGCTTTTTACCTTTGGTTCCCTTCATATCGTAGATGCTGATTTCTCGGAAGCATTAAATATTCCTTGAATTTTAAATAGAAACCAAAGAACACAGTTTCAGGTTAACGATAGTCATTTCGTTAAAACATCTGCATATCATATTGTATTTTTCTCACCTAAGCTTCGGTGACCATTGTTAAGATCATGGGAATGATATTCCCGATTTGAAAGTCAAAGCTATAACTGATGTGAAAATGTCTTTTTAATATGTTAAATAAAGTTTAAATAAGACCCCCGGGGGTCTAGAAACTTTTTGTTTTGGTAATCAGAACGAAATTTGGATATGTATAAAACCTTTGGATGTGGTGTTAAAGTGGCGAGCCAATTTATCTTTTACTTAAGTACGTATCTAAATTGACTACAGGTAAAATTGTTTACACTTTTCGGTCAGGGCAGTTTTGATCTTCCTCTAGTTTTTACATTAAAAATTCAGTTTTCAATTCTGGGAATTTCAAAGTTTTTTTAAATAGATGGTGACAGCATTTGCTGCCATCATAAATGACTGTTCGTGGTCTAGCGAGTCTACAATAACAGAATTGCTTCAAAGTAATTATTTTTATTTCAAAAAGCAGATCTTCGACGCCTCCAGGACGCCTTTTAAACAGATTACTATTATTTATTCTGGAAAATTCGAGTAATTGAAAATTTTATTTGATGTGTTTCAATTGGAAATTTTTCCTTAAATGTCAAAAATCCTACCCAAATGTTATAACAGCAATTGACCCACCAACGTAAACCTCTATGGTTACTTTCTAATCTTGACAAGGCGCATTAAAACCCAGGGCTTACATGCATTATTTTTTGAAAGAATATAGTTTTTCTTGATTCTAAAACCCTTGACTAAGATGACAGTCTCCTTTTTCTCCCTTAAAAAAAGAAGAAAAATAAAACGCGTAACGGGTGACCTGGGTAGAAAAAAAAAGAAACTCCAAATACTGAAAAAAGCATTGAAATTACGAGCCAAAACTTCATTTCCAACAAGATTAACAAGATTAAGAACAGTACCATAGCAAAGAATTGCTTCTAAAAACAATATTTTTATTGGTCACTTTGTAATGTACATGTAAATTTATTTGCTCAAACAAATCTTGTAAATAACTTTACGTGAGTAAAGAAGGGTTGGCGGAAGAAGTGTGTTTGATATGTGTCGTCCTAAAAAATGAGCACTTAAGTTTTGTTTTGTACTTAAACACCTAGTAATAGCAAAAGGACTGTAAGATCAGAAAGATAAACT